GGGGTCCTGTTTCACCAGCATGTAGCCTGGTGGCAGCCCCCCTTCCTGTGGGACCACCTGTGTGGGGGCTCCTATCAACATGGGGGAAAGAAGAGCTTGCCCCAGACCTGCCAGCGGGAGGATGCTGCTGCCTCCTGCTGCATGGATCCCATCACTCCAGTCAGGCTCGACACTGTTGGTTGCAGCAGAGCGGGGAAATGAGGCAGTCAGAGGCTTGGCAGTCCCCATTCCAGCTCTTGTCATCCCAGACCTCAGTGAAATGGCCTCCCAAACCTCTAATCCACCAAACTTTTGAGCTGTTCCATTGAGGTGCGGATCATGATTGGGAACCTCCACTTCACCAGTTCTTCCCACTTGGCTGCCCTCCTGGCTTTACATTGTTTCCCTGGACCACCATAATTCCGGGAGGAACCAGTGAGTTCTCTGCCTCCACTATCTTTCTCATACCACTTGCTCATTGCCCCTTTGGCTGGAGTAGGGTGGCTGTTCCAGCTTCCAGCCCCCTGCTTAGGATGCCAATCAACTGGTCCCTAGGCCCCACATGGGCTGTTGTCGGTGCTTCCCAGAGGGGGGCTTTTCCCTCCTTCGCCCTGCCATCTGATTTCTTGTCGACTGCCAACCTCTTGATATCGCAACTCTCCTGGAGGGGTCCAGGTAGGTTGCAGTAGATGGAGGTTTAATGTCAGATGTCCTGCTAGCGAATCCAAAAAAGGAACCCCTGGGATATTGTTTCTCCTAAAAAGTAAAACTTTATTGGATACACTTCATTGGCACAGAAGAAGCGAAACCAGCTCTGAGTTTCCCATTGAAAAGCCTCAGTTCATTGCATTGTCCAATTGAATATGTTCTTTTTGTTATGGGAACTGCCTGTATTGTTCAAACACCTACACTGAGTAACCTTGGGGGAGGCAGCAGGTTCTCTCAATCTGCAGACAGAGTCTTGGCATTCCATTCCCATCCCAGACATTCCAACCACCCCACTCTCAATTGTTGTCAAGGTGAGAGTGAAGAAGTAACTAGGTGAAAGAGTGAATCACTCTTGACATTTTGGCTGGTTCTGTTAGTAACAGAGCAACTACATTTTGGATAAATTGAAGTTTATGTCTGGCTTTGAAAATATTAGGAGGATACAAGTCAAATTTGAATGACTTCCAACTAAATATACACATATTTATATTATACTCAAAAAAAAATATTCTAAAACTGACATTAAGATAATCAACATTTAATTACATTTTTTCTGATTATTATATCAATTTACTTGACAGAAATTAGAGTAACCTGACAACTAGCATCTACAAGTCTTTAAAAAATGATCATGATTTTTATAGAAGTCTTATTAACAGGTCTAAATGTACCAACAAATGAACTTACATGGTAGCAAGGAACAGGTGATATGTGCATCACAATGTAATTTATAAAGGAAGTAAATTATTCAAATATGTCATGATTAATACAAATAACATGTTTCATAACATTTGTACAATGATGCCATGAGCTGTAATTACATTATGGTAGACATGACATCATCATTTCTGCTGATTGTGCAACATTTCTACTAACTAAAAACATTGGGTCTAAAATCAATTGTTTGTTGACTATTGAATTTAAATGTACAAAAAAGAAATGTGGTTTATATTAGGCTAAAAATAATGCCTAGTTGCACTTTCAGTCTCAATGAACAATTAGGTTGCTCAGCAACTAAGGATTTCTAGGTCAATCACTACAATGTTATGCTTATGAAATGGCAACTTTAAAATTTAAATGCAATTAATAATTTAAAATTCTCTCTGTCTCATTCTCTCTCTGGATATTACATTATTATGCAATGTTTTAAAATAACCAGTTGGTTTTAGCTACCTATTTTTAGCTAAACAATTATTTTCTAATTAATTTTTAACAAAAATAATTTCTAGTTATAGGTGTGGTGTGTGTGTGTGTGTGTGTGTGTGTGTGTGTGTCAGGGGTGGGTTCCGGCAGGCATTACTGCCAGTTTGCTCATGTGTGCACTTTGCGTGTGGTGTGTGCTTTGCGTGTCTGTATGCTTTGCACATGCACATGTGCCTGATGCACGCTTCACACAAATGTGTAGCACAATTAAAATTGTTCGCACATGCACAGAACCGAAAAACAAGATGGTGCCGCTGCCCCGGAACTGGTTCTGGGCCTGACAGGCATGGGTCGCTGCCAGTTCCAGCAGCTCCCCTAAAACTCCCCTAAAACAGAGACTCCATTGCAAACGGATGTCCTTCTTAAAGACAAAACAGAAAAAACAATACTAAATTACATAAATTGTAATACATATGCATATGCGCAATTTTAATCAACAAGGGTATTTAATGTTTTGTGACTAGAAGTTTCTGTATATTTTGAAATATTTTTTTTCTAGTACTTGAGAACTTCATACACATCAGTGGTTGGTTGCTATAACGCATGCACACGCACTGCGCACGTCCATGTGCTGGTTGGAAAGGGATCCGGAACCCACCACTAATACACATAGACTGTAGTGAAATATGTCAATAGCAGAGGAAGTTGCTTGATTGATAGAGGGTAGAAAATACACTGTTTTCAATGGTGAGAAAAAACTGACATGATGCAGGATTAGATATCATGAATTAAAACAAAGGGAGAGGACAAATTCCATGATTAACAATGTTATGAGTTTATTTATTTATTGAGTGGAAAAAGATTTTTGCAGGAAAGGAAGACAATGATTTTAAGCTATCTAGAAAGAAAGGTAACAAAGGAAATGAATTATTATCTGTTCTGACCCCCCCTTGACGGCTCGTTAACAAACACAGGCAGGCAAACTAAAAAAGGACTTTTCTCTTTATCAGTTTACAGTTCAAACTGGCTTCGGGCCCAGAAATAACATAAACATAACTCTCCGATAAGAGTTCAAAACAAAAGCTCTTACAAACGCAGCAGTTCTTCCACTGTCTTCACAGATCAGGTTTACACGAAACACCAAAGCACTTTTCCAAGTGTAACAGGCATAAATCACGATTAGTAATCACACAATGTTTTACCAAACACGGAACACACGAAGGAACGTTGACTCCTGCGACTGGGGCGTGGCAGCATCCTTCCTTTTATCTCCCAAACTTCCTCCCACAAGCCCCAGCTGCATACTGAATTTTGTATCCCGAAAAAACTCTCAGCAGAACTGCTGAGTCACAACAATTATCCAAGGCAAGAAAAAATATTGAGGCTGAATGCTAAGACACAATTTATAGAATAAATCTTATCAAGTGATTTTACTTCTAACAAATTGCATGTTTAGGACATGTTTTTGGTATGTTTCAGACAGAAGAAAGTCAATTTCATCTTGCCACTGTACTGTACCAATTTATTACGTATTATGTGCCATCAGGTTGTTGTCAACCATAGTGGATGGATATTTTACATAGTATAGCTCAGTGGTGGGTTGCAATTTATTTTACTACCGGTTCACTCATTAGTGTGCGTGCGAGCGATTGCACAACACTTTTGCGCATGCACAGAAGCATGCGGGAGGGTGGGAAGAGCCTCCCACCACTGCCACTACTGGTTCGCCCTGGATCTGGCAGCAACCCACTTTTGGTATAGCTTATAAATCTGATGCAGTAGCTCAGGGTTGACTTAGCCTAGTATGGGCTTTCAAAGAATAGTCAAGCATTCACCTCTGAATACTCATATATTTTGTGTCTTTAACAAACAGAATTTCTTTTAAAATGGAGGTTCATGGGAGATCCTGGAAATTGTGGAATTGGCTTAAAATTATATAATTTACTTTACAAATAAAGTAAGACTACTATGTATATAAGTTCCATTCTTCCTCCTGGGTATTCCATACTGGATCCACCTCATCTGCAACTATTCAAATACCATGAGTTTAGAAATGTGTAAAAATATTCATCATGAAGTTGATTAAAGTTAACATTCTAAGGGGACAAAACTTAGAATGAGGCTGAATGTCACAGGTGAAACCCTGTTTTTTTTTTAAATATGAGATACATGTAAAACAGCAAGATTTAATCCTATCCTCTAGGCGCCATTTTGAATTTTTTTGATTATGCCCGCAGGGGCTTCTGAGAGTAAACATAATTAAATTTGAAATAAAAGCAAATTTAATGCAAATCTGGAGGTACATTATTCTGATAATATTTTAAAATATTAGCACTAATAATTCAAACTGAATTTTATCTTGAAGCAAGGAAAAATATGCCACTGATTTTGGGAAGAAATGACTTAACGATTATCGTTTTAATGAATGTCATCCTTTTCCACAGAAAATCTAGAATTAAAATTCAGTGATTGGTTTTTAAGAACGGCTTGATGTGTACGTCATGAAAAACCAACCATTTGCCTTGATAGAATTATTTGCAGGATTCAAAAATCCATTCAATAGTAGTTCTAGAATCCTAGGGTGTGGCATGAGAATCAAAATTGTCAGATTTCAAACAAAGATAATGAAAGAGGCAGTACTGTATTGCAAGCCAGATCTCCTCTGAGTAAACAATCAGATGCAACATAGAAAAAGGTGTATGGTGGCAAACGAGGGCATTCTTTTCACAACTTCTGCTCTGTGCTATTAGTTGCAGCATCTGTTACCATTCCTTCTCCTGCAAAGCACAGCATTTTGTGGGCCCAAGTGGGCAGGTAAATCCCTGCATATGCAGCTGAATATATAAGCTAATAGCACCCAGAAATACAAATGAATCTCAAATTTGGTATGATTAAGAAGTGCATTTTAAGATCCTATTAAAAGCAAGAATAATTACCTTTCACACCACCAATATCATCTTCTATCACAATTAGTCTTGATCCAAATCATATCCCAGAAACATTTATTTAGACAAATTCCAGCTGCACCAAGAGAATTAGGACTGTTGGACTGTGTATTTCTTTTCTCAACATAGGCTGATTTGTTTTGCACATAAAACCCATCCACCTCCAGGCAAAAGCAAGCATCAACAGATATAGTTGCCCTCCCCGACAAATCACCCAGAAATTACCTGCTTTCTTTCAATGCATCAAGAAATTTTGTAAGCAAATCTTGTTTCCATGCCGACTGCATGGAATACGGCATGAAATCAATAGACCCTTCAATTGCCTCCTCAGGGGTATACTTTACCTCTTTTGCATTTATATATAGATAGATAGATCTCACATCCAGATTCCGCATAGTAGAAATGAAAAGGTAAACAACTCCTCTCCCTCATCCAGTCTAGGAAAAAAAGCGTTCTGTACTACAGATAGGTAAAACAGCTCAGACAGCCAGGCACACTAATGTACCTCTGTTGTTACCAAGCTTCCTGAAGCTCAGAGAGAAATGTCTACTTCCTAGCAGACTGAAATATGAGATGAGGCTTAATTACAGAAAGAAATACATTAGCAAAGTAAAGAACAGAGAAAGTGTATTTTCTAGAAGAGAGATAACATGCTATCTTTGCTTGATGCAAGTAAGAATAGCAAAGTATCTCAAAGCCCTTTAATAGAGAGAAAATAATCAGGAAGTACATTTGGAACCACAGCTTTGTAAAGCTTTAGTTCTAGAATGAAAATAATTAGGATTGCTCCAATTTGGTATAGTAATGAAAGAGCTATGAAGTACCCCATTTTGCTGCATCTTTGCCATGATATTGGTTTGATTCTAAATAGTAACTAGCTTGGATTTAAGTATTTTTGAGTCAATAATTTGCTACTTTGCTTACAGCAGAGAAAAATCCCAATCCTATCCCAAACAGCCTTGGCAATCATCTGATTTTAAGGGAGATGATGTTCCTGGGAAGGGGAAGCAATAGGAAAAAGCTATGTTTGTGCCTTTTGATAACCCTTTTAGAACTATTTTAGAATAGGGACACAAAGAGAACTCTCTAATTAGATGGATGGAAGGAATGTTGAAAACCCTAAAGATATCCAGATCCTAAACGATATAGGTTGTAATCGTGCCACTCAGCACCATAAATTATAAGCAGGATCCAATTGCTCATTAATTCAACTCCAAAAGTAAAGGTGTTAACTGGGCAAAATGGCTGACTTTGGGTCAGTCACTGTCTCTAAGCCCAACTCATCTCACAGGATTGTTGTTATGGGGAAAACAGGAGGAGGAAAGCATATTATGTATGTTTGCCATCTTGTTATTGTTACATACTGACAAACAGGATGGTAGTTTCCACCAGGTCCTCTGTTCTGGCAGGAATAGTATTCAAATCTGATTGGTTGAAAGGTCTGACAGCTCCCTATAAAAGGGCTGCTGCCAGACAGAGTCTTTGCTGGATTGTACATAGTTGTCACTAAATAAAGAGCTGTTTGTTGCTGAAGCCTGAGTCTGCCTCATCCATTCACCCTATCTAACAGTTATATATAATAACAAAAGTGGGTTTTAAAAAATCTAAATCTTAAGATGAAATTTACCTGTTACTATTCAGACCATTGCATTCTGGACAACCATAGCTTCTAAAATGATCTTCATGGACTACCTCCTGTGCAACATATTGCAATAGACCAAATTTATATTGCTTCCAATATAATTGAAAGAAGCAGCACTCGGTGCCAAAAAGGTTCGCCATCACTGCTCTAAAGTAATCATTCCAATTTGTTCCTGTGAGGATAAGAAGGGTATTAGTTGCGCTGAAAGCTTGTTTATTTCAATCAGGTAGCTGTAAATGGAATTCAGCTAAGGTGTATAGATGTACTCTTCTACCCTCCCTTCTACCAAATGTTTACTTCAAAGGAAGTTAGAATGAACAAATTACTTTTTGAATCAACTGCTCTACAATTGAGAAATTAACTGTTATATTTATGAATGTATAAACCTCTTTAGTCAGACAACTAATTAGGATAGAAACGAAAAGCTGCAGCTTGTATAACATTAACAAAATACAGATCTAAAGTAAAATAAAAACAGAACATTTTGATTTTTATTCTTTACATACAGTATTTTGCACAGTGTTTCCCTGAAAATAAGATAGAGTTATTTTCTGTTGACCCCCGAAATAAGTACTTGGCCTTATTTTTGGGGAGGTCTTATTATTTTTGAGGTGCAGGAGGCGGCGAGTGTGGTCACCTCATGGCTGCTACTGTGCTGCAATATTTTCAGGAAGGGCTTATTTTCCGGGAAGGCTTATTTTAGCGCATGTGCTCAAAAGCCCGATTGGGCTTATCTGGGGTGGTCTTATTTTGGGGGAAACAGGGTACTTTATTAAACATATTTCTGTGCTGCCACAATCAAAGATTCTCACCAGCTTTTTATTGAAAATACAATTTAAAACATTTGTTATAAAATAATAAAAATTCAACAGTGTAAACAACAATAATAAATACAATGGCATCAAATTAAGGAACGCTCTCCACGGTAGCTCATTTTTCAAAGTTTTTGAAAATCAATAGAGTTGGCCTTTTCAACACTGGGAGTCTTTTCCATAGTGTTGACATTGCTGTGGAAAAAGAGTGATCCTATATCAAGATTTCCCCGAGAATCTACCCAAAATGTGGGATTTGTAGTAGTTTTTCCTTGATAATACTTACCAGTCAGGCCCTACTGATTGGAATAGCAGTCATGTAGGTATGTGGTTGCCAAGTCATAAAATGCTTTATCAGTCAAAAAATATGATTGTATTTTATTATTATGATTGTGATATCATAATATCATATTATTTATCACTTGTTGCTTATATTTACACTGGGAACTTATGCATTGAAGACAAATTCCTTGTGTGTCCAATCACACTTGGCCAATAAAAGATTTCTAATTAAGAGCAACTTAAATCGGAACAATAAACTTATTGGCAACCAATGCAGGGTCTGCACAACCTGTGCTATGTACACCCAGCTCTGAAAGCCTCAAAATATACAGGCTGCTGATGTAATTTTTGACTACTATTTAAGAATAGTATGGCCTTCGATAAATTCAGCAACCCCTGTGCAGAGTACAGTTGGGAAGAATTAGACTGCATGTCAAATTAAAAAGCCGTTTAAAACATAGAATAGGGATACTTACATTAAGGGTGTTCTCCGTACAGGTTCCATAGTGTAGTGGTTATCACGTCTGCTTTACACGCAGAAGGTCCTGGGTTCGAGCCCCAGTGGAACCACCTAATTTTTTTCAGTTACAAGTACACTTTACTTCTAACTTCTAAGCTAATATTGCAGTTCACAATTTACACAAATTCCATTTCTAAATAAGCTAGTAATGCAAAACACATCTCACATTTTCTGCATAAGCGATTACGGTCTGCTCACGGCGCCACCTATCGGTATCTAATATTTATCAATCTCCAGGATGTTCAGCATCGTCAACAATTGTCTTGAATCCTGAAATCTTACTAGTAAAACTGTTTACGGCAACAGATCAACGCTCTAGAAATCTTGTAATCCAGCACCTCCTTTCTTTGCGATCGAAACGGCGAATAATCGATGTCGAAATTTATGCACAAACCAATCAGAGCCCTAAAGCAGTTGTGGGAGTTCTGCACGTGCTCACCAACACATTTAACTAGTACTATTGCCTTTTTATTCCAGAGGACTCATTGCATCGAAGTTCGAGAGCTGCTGATTTATGGCCAAAGCGCTCTGTTCCCAGGAAGAGCCGAGGTAATAAAACATCTGAGATCTTTGCACCACGACTCGCGTTGCAGCAGATGTTGACAAAGATTGCCGGGGAAAATATAAGGGTTGAGAAGGCCTGATGGCGAACAAGCCCTGCATTGAACGGCTGTCGTCTTCCCGCCTTCCTTTCAGGGTTTGCCTCTGCGGATATGTGCAAAACGTATCGCAATGGTAACGTGCGGATTTGTAATCTACCAGTTCATTGTTCTGTGCTTCTCGCAGATTGGAAGGAGGTAGCGAGGGTGGCTTAAAGCAATGGTCTCCAACCTTGGCAACTTTAAGACCTGTGGACTTCAACTCCCAGAGTTCCTCAGCCAGCAAAGCTGGCTGTGGAACTCTGGGAGTTGAAGTCCACAGGTCTTAAAGTTGCCAAGGTTGGAGATCACTGGCTTAAAGCTTGTACGAACCATGGCAGAATCAGACAGAACGTGCTGGCAGTTGGGTGCGGCACAAACAGGCCTCCCCCCACCCACCCCCGCGCGAGAGAAGCTGCAGTTTGCCTCTCTGCGATGGCTTCCTCGTTCGCCCACCCACAAGCGCAGCCGCCCACGCGCGTGCTCCAGAAAGTGCAAGGAGGGGGGAGTGCTGGGCGGGATGAGGGAGCTGCGCGCTGCGTAGCTTTCGCGGTTTCTCAACTCCCCCCCTGAGGAAAGAAGGCGATCCTGTGCGCGCTGAGCGGGCACGAAAATAAGCCTTTCCTCAAGGAATGCAATATTTCAAATACGGGGGTGGAGATGGGGAACCGATTTCTGCAAGTCGCTAAATGAGCTTGACGCTGAAAGAAGCTATAGTTCTATGCTTTACAGGAGAATAGACACCGCCCAGTGGAAGCCTTGGTGCTCTCTGAGTCTGGTTGTTTGCTTTAGGTTTACTCATGTGTAGCAGTGCATTGATGATGTTAACTGGTTGGGTAACGAAATGTTTGCAAGCAAGAAACCAGGCTCAGAGAATACCAAGGACTCCACAGTTCAAGGACTCCACAGCTACAGATGTTCTCTTCTATTGGAAAGATACCCGCTGTTGTAGAGAAATTTGGGGGTCATCCAGTCGAATGCTGACCAAATGGGCAGCGTTGCTAGGTTTCCTGATCTCTGGCAATAGCTCGCAATTCCTTAATGGATATTCTGATCCTTTCCGTTCACCTGATCCCTTGTGTTCCTATTCATCTCTCAGATTTGCCAAGCAGGGATTATAATTTTTTTTCTCCTAATCCCATGATGGTGAACCTATGGAACGTATGCCAGGGGTGGGACACAGAGCCCTCTCTGTGGGCACGCGCACCATCGCAGCTGCTCTTCTGATTTCCAGTGTGCACATGTAGGCCGGCCAGCTGCTCTTTGCAGGTGCCGGAGCACCAGAAAACGGCAAAAAACCAGTCCGTTTTTGGACCTTTTTCTGGGCTGTTTTCAGGCTGGTTTGGGGGGGCGTTTTCAGGGCTTTGGGGGGTATTTTCAGGGCATTTCTAGGATGCTTTTGAGGTTTTTTCAGGGCATTTTCTGGGGCATTTTTGCATGAAAACAGTCCAAAAAACAGCTTGCAAACGGCCTAAAATGGCCTGAAAAATAG